AGAAAAAAAGTAACCAGTTTTCAATTAGAGAAAGGGCCAATTTCTTTTCCACTTCGATGTCGGCAGAAAGTAACGGGAACAAAGACTGTATTTTGAAGGTTTTTAGTCTTGGAATATACTACATTTCAGCCCCCATCATCAGGAAAAAGTACAGCATACCCAGCAATATTTGAAATTTGAAACAGGCAGGATGGTTTGGGGCAGTCCAGGGAGTAACAGGCATGGCAGTTTAGGGCAGTACAGGGATAACAGGCAGGGCGGTTTGGGACATTACAGGGAGTAACAGGCAGGGCGGTTTGGGACAGTACAGGGAGTAACAGGCAGGGTGGTTTGGGGCGGTACATGGAGTAACAGGCAGGGCGGGTAAGGGCAGTACAGGGAGTGACAGGCAGGGCGGTTTGGGGCAGTACAGGGAGTGACAGGCAGGGCGGTTTTGGGCAATACAGGGAGTAACAGGCACGGCACTTTAGGGCGGTATAGTACAGGGACAAAATCTGTCGCAACAGGGTATATAGCTCCTTTCTTAATTTTCAAGACTTCGAAAATCTCTCAACACATTAGCCAACTGCCGATTCCAAAGCCTCCCAAGGACAAAAATGGTGATGGCCCTCATTCCCCAGAATTCTGGATCAGTAGACCTCCTTCCCCCTTTCCGCTAACGACTTTTGCCACAGTCACCGGAGGGCAGCGCGACGCGACAAGCGTGGCAGCCCGGCGGGGGAATGTCTTTCGACACATCGCGCAACAACTTTCAAGAAGCAAGTCGGTACTTTTTAAAGAGGATTGCCACCTCTCATTCGAACAACACGGTCACGGTTGTCTGGGCTGTTACTTGGGGCCCCACGCTTTAATGGGGAGAAAGGTAATAGGTGTTGAATTTCCTGAGGTAGCCTCACGCCTTCGACTCCAGAGAAAACAAGAAAAAGAGCAGGTGGAGAGGCAGGGGTGGGGGTGACTGGCATAGGCACAGGTGTTTTGGCGCAAGGTGTGAATTAGTGAGATAATTGGAATGTACTCTAGACACGTCTGGGCATTCTGACTTCAGGCCTCAGTTAACTTGCTATTCAGTGTGAGTTGACTAGTCAAGTTTGTAAGGCTATTAACAGGTTTCTATCCAGGGAGTACGATACAGAGATGATTGGTATGCTGATCTCTTTGGAGCTTTGTCAATCGGTAAAGGGAAGGGTTCATTTGAAGTTCTTTTGGACTGCTTTTCTGTCACCAGAGGAATGGTGTTACTAGGTTTTGGGGATGAATACGTATGAGATAGTGACAGGAATGCTGTAAGAGATTCAGAGCAAGGGATCACTTTGAGGACTGACGAACAACCGTCCCCCCCCCCCCCCAAGTCCCAGGTCAGGGAATAGGCCTGAGGTGAAAGCTCACTGCGATAGCAGCGAAACCTTTTTGAAAGTGGCAGGCACCGTGTATAAACATCTGTATCATGGTTTTCAAACGAGGGTGTGTACTGTTCTCCCTTCAACACTGCCAATGCTGCAGATGCCACACTGAAAACTTAAGAACTGCATGCTGCAATAAAGTGCATGTTGCACAGGACACAAAATCATAATTCCTCCATCTCTACAGGAAAGATGCCAGTACCGATGTTTTAACTTCATAATAGCAAATTTATTAAACATTAAATAGAAATTATGGGTGAGGCTGTATAGACCAAGCCGGCGAACAAAATTGGAAAGACGTGTTTGAGGTGGCACCACGTTCATGCGCAAGCTGCACGCGTTCTTAAAGACAAGGCGCACATGCATTTTGGTCGAAGGAGGCTGGAGTGGGTGCGTACTGTCAGAGCACGACTCGCGCAAGCCTGGTGCCATCGCAGAAGATGGCTGTCGCTGGATTAGTCTATAGGTGGCAGAATGGGAGGGAACATTATACCTCCTCCAATCCACTTACTAATCTTTTTCTTCGCCCACCCACATTTGGGTAACTACCTCCCAAGACAAATGCCCTCTGAATCTCTTCTAGAAAGGGCAGTCAGCCACTACAGGAGTGACATGTGATTGACTTGTGAGAATCTGTTCAAGCTAGATTCAACAGCTACTGCCGTTTACCTTTTCTTACTCTTCTACACACAAACAACGAAAACATGGGGGCGGGCAGGGGTGTAAGCATTCACCCATGACATATTTGAGTGAGCACACACAGCCACTCCACATCTTAGATCAAGCATGACAGGTCGACATTGATGCTCCATGCTCCAATGAATACATTCCCACACCGTGTCTCCTTATCAGATATTCTGTAAGCCCAGCGACGGACAATTTTTTATGTCAAGTTGACTTGATTCTCCCAAGAACCAGGGGATTCGAAAGCAGCATATGGACATTGAACTTTATTGTAGGCGTGTAAGCTGGTTAACCGAATAATCTCTGTAGCTCCGATGAACTCTCTGAGGCACGTCTTCTGAAGAGCCAGCGTCTTATGAGCCTCCTGGGTAATGCCGGCAACCTTGGCCGAAACGTCGGGCATCGATCCTCTTCAGTTTACAAAATAACTCCTTAATTTGTTCCCCGCGACCAATCCCGGCCATTGATTTACTGTCGCACGCCGGCCGGGCCAGACCGCCGAGGGTTTAATGAGCCGTGTAGTCAATTGCCAATCATATTCGATTCGCGCCAACGACGGATGATACGCGTTTTACCTCGCTGAATTAGGGTTTAATATCCCCTGGTGGCCCGCTGAATTCACGGCAGGAGACGCGCGGAGGAACAGTCGGTGGTAGAGAGAACGCATCGGTTTCATTGCCAATGCAATAATGACTACAGTTGAGGGTACAGCTCTGTCCCCCGAATGTGAAATAAGCACTAAGTTGCGGTACATGAACTGAGGAAGGTAGAGCCGGCTAATGCAATGGACCTGGTACCATCAGGGAACAAACTGATATCAAAATAGGAATTCTGTCAACTGTGTGGATTTCGCACAGAGCTGCACATTGGCGATTCCAGCATAATGAAAGGAAGTGTAAAGTCCGTAAACAGAGCCCATTAACCATGACATCTAATTAATGATCCAAAACTCCTAGGCTGTAATCTCCTTGACCATTACTAGATGATGGATGTATAAGATAAAAAAAAAAAAAAACATTTTCAGGTTTATTCGCTGAGCTCTTAAAAGCTGTGTCACGGACATTTCATAATGTGGAATGTTCACAGGGCGAATGATTCCACAGAGGTACATGTATACTCATGTTTTTCATGTTATTATTTTTAGATGATAGATTTGTGGACTGCCATGACCACATGGTCTGGAGCATTGAATTTGTGGTCTGCGGGTAATTCTGCAGGTTGTGGGTTCGAGTCCAGCCTGGGGTTAGGGTGCGTGTGCCCTTGGGCAAGGCACTTTGTCACTCATTGCTTCTCCCCACCCAGGAGAAAATGGGTACCTGTGAGGGCAGAGATGGTTATTGTGAATGAATTAGCTTCCTTGCGCCTAGCAGGCACAATCGAGCTGTATACTCCCCAGGGAGCTGAGATGGCATTTGGAATGTTTCATTGGCCCAATGATCAGGGGTAATAATAATGTAAAGCGCTTTAATCTTAATAGTTAAAAGCGCTTTATAAAAACCTGTTATTATTATTATTATCCCACATGCAATCGTACCGTAATGCCACGATGCACGAGGTATTTTCTGTACTTTATAATCACACAAACTGGAAAATACTATGAAAGCGGTTTTAAACATGAAAAAGTCACTGAGTTGTTGACAACGCAATTTAGATAAAAACACCTTCCGAAAATGAGATTTGCCAGCTTAAATGCAAGTCTTAAAATACCAAATGTATGCCCCGGGCACGTGTCCACGTACAAAAAAAGCATTGTCCCTCTTTCATTAATGGCTCTTGTGGATTAAACGTAATTGTATTAGGACAGCCATTTCCATTTAGATGTGACAATGCTCACCGTCGAGCATCCGTTTGGGGCACTACGTTTGACGTATTTGCCCTACGTTTCTTCCTTTGCCGTTAATTTGATTTTAAAAAAAAACATGTCGACGAAAGAAAGGTCAGGTTCTTTTCAGCAGTGTACAAAGAAATGATTGCAGTGTTTTTTTGTGGGAGTCGTGGATAAAAACAGTTTTGTATTCACAGAGGACCATCTGAAGATGTCAGCGTTCTGACGAATAACGTATGGAGTACACATACATGCATATGACGTACATATGTACGTACGTACATTTAAACCTAAAGCAGAGTTCCTGCATCTATAGGACAATAAAACTCCTTGATTTTTCCCATGACTTTTCCATGATCAAATTATTAAAATCCAAGACCTACATGTAGTTCATCAAAATGCAGATCAAACTTCAAAAGTGTGAAACTTTTTCACGGGGCAACAACTTTGAAATTAAAATGTTGTATCAGCGAAAGTTGTCGCATTTTGTCGGGTAGAAAAGTTGTCGATGCTAAATTATGAATATACATAGTTTCAAATTTAAAGTCTGAACCTGGCTTAATACAGGGTGAGTCAAAAAAAACGAATCCCAAATGTCAGGACCATTTTTTAAGTGAAGTTCTGCATGTAGCCCTTTCAAAATCTAGGATATGAAAGCCCAATTCATAGGCTTTCTTTTAGTACAAGAATCATTCGAATCACTCATGTACTTTTGAAGTTACGGAATTTTAAACACAACAACCGTTTTCAAGTTCCGTCCATGGATCACAAGAAGGTAAGTGTTCTTTCAGCATGACGAAAACAAATCACATAGAGATGTGTGTGAATTGTTTTCGTTTGGCTGAAAGATCACACACCTTTGTTGTGATCCGTGGACAGAACTTTGAAACGGTGGTTGTGTTTAAAATTCCGTAACTTGGAAAGTACATGAGTGATTTGAATGATTCTTGTACTAAAAGAAAGCTTATGAATTGGGCTTTTATCCAAGATTTTGAAAGTGCTACATGCAGAACTTCACTAAAACAATAGTCCCGACATTTGGGTTTCGCTTTTTTTTTACTCACCCTGTACAAAGGTCAAAGTTGACTTACCATTGTAAAGACAAGATGATTGCATGTGATGTAAATAGAGGATTGGATAATTTCTCCGCTTGCAGATTTAGTACTTGTATCCACGGTTGCAAGAATACTGATGATAAGGCACGAGAAAAGCAATAGAAATCTGCAGGGGGAAAAGAGAAAAAGAATCATTTTTAAAAATTAAAACGTCATTTGCAGTTCGGTGTTATCTTAAAAGAAAATTCAAATTACTTCCAACATCTACTCCCGTATAAGTGGGGGAGTGTGGCCTAGTGGTTAGGGTTCAGGACTCACGATCAGAGGGTCAGGGGTTCAAGTCCACCTACTGAAAATATGTTGTGTCCTTAAGCAAGCCACTTCACCCTCACTTGCCTCGATCTCTCCACCCACGAGTACAAAATTAAGTCTGTCGTTTGATGACACTGAAATCAGAGATAAACACTGGCCTAACGGGCCATATAAGCACGAGACAGATTTTCCTCTTTTTTATCAGAATCAATCACTTTCAATCAAATTTGCAATTTTTAAATTTTTTTCTGACAAGTTCCCCCAAAAAGGCACCGAGTGTACGGTGCTTATAAAATTACCGTAAAGGGCAAACATCCATCATTATATGTTTTGATGCAAATATTAAGATAATTTTTCTGTTGTTTCGAGCATGTGCCCTTTCCTTCCACCACAACTCAATATTTCATTAAAATTGACTTTTCAGCGTAACTGAGCTTTTGAAGAAACAATTTAATCAAAACTTGAACAGCTAGAAAAGCCAAGGTTGAATCTATGGATTCAAGGAAAACAATTCTGTTGGCGAGTGTGGATCTTTCAAGGTTTCGTTTTTTGGTTTTTTTACATGTATCTTCTAGATTAACAGCCCTGATAATACATACTCGTGCAGAGATCAATGGAGACAACCATGAAACCCTTTAAAAAATACAATTTATTGAGCATCAATAAAACAATTAAACTTCAAAATCCATTAGTTTCAACGATCGACATCTTGCTTGTGGGTTACGAGCTAAGCCTGCAGTGCATCATCTCTGATTAAAAGGAAAAAGAAGAAAAAGAAGAAAAAGAAGAAAAGAACTAGAGCTTTGTTTGTTCGATGAACAGAACATAGGGCTATCCGCACCATGATTTTTGTTGTGAATTGAAGCTTATTTTAAAATATCGCCTGTAAAATTATGACATCATCTCAATTTTCACCTGGAAAAAAGTCCATGTTTACTATGCTTTATGCCGAGTTAAGTTTGAAAGGCATATGACTGTGTTTTATGCAAAAAATGCAGTTAAGAATGAAACATGTACAAAGTCTATGGGATTTGGGATAAAAAAAAAAAAAAAGAAAAAGAAAGAAAAAAAATCAGAACAAAAACAAAGGCTTTTCCATATATGTATTTCATTTCTTGATTGGAGATCAGTGGCATTGCCGGGAAACAACGTAATGGATGTAAATACTGGATCGATCCATTACACCTTTACACCCAGCCATCCATAACAAACTACGCAACTTTGAACCTTAAAGGGCAGGTCCGGGCAGCTTCGGATAATTTACAGCTTGAAGTCACCTCCCAGAGTTTGTCGAAAATAAACAACTATGGCATATTATTTTTAAATGAAATGTACGGCCTTAATTCGATGTACAGTTCTGTGTCCGGTGGTGGCAAAAATTGGGAAAATAGTCAAGAGATTTACGAGGAAAAACACAAACATGAAATGGAAAGGTCCGGGCAGGTGAAATTGACGTGTGGCCTTTGCCATTGTTTAGTGCAGATGAATTTATAAATTTGCTGGCATTTGATCGTATCCTTTCTGGCACCACAATTGGCATCTTATACATTGGAATGTATTGATGCAATGGAGATTTTTTTTTCTTGCAATTGAGTAACAGAAATGTATGTAAATATTATCAGACAAAGTTGGATATTTGTTAACACCAACACCAACACAAGATACAAGTTTACGTTCATGCTTCATTTTTTTTTTTAACCAAAACTTTTAGAGTCACTTAATCACATCTTAAGTGCAATCAGACAGTTGACAATTTTTATTTTTCCCCTGAACTTTCATTCTGAATCTCTAAATTTCTAAAAATCTAAATTTCCAAATCTCAATTTATCGTCTTAAAATATTGCCCACTGGGAACGACATGCCAATCAGTTCATAACTCATTCAGTTTTCCTCACTGTTTTTCTCACTTCTCACTGTTTTAAATTAATTTAAATAGGGTGACAAATTCCTGTGTCAAGGAGATTTTCCCATCATTTTGTTTTTTAAAAATGCATTTTTTTGCTCAAACACAAACCCTCCAAGCTCTCCCAACCCTTTTCACTATCTAGAACAGTACTTGGTTTGGTGACATTTTGTGAATTATATTTTCAATTTAGGACAAAACACCTAGACGACAGCTCCACCACACAAAAATGACAACCTTATCAATTAATATGAGCTCAAGTGACGTAAAAAAAAAAAAATGGAGACAAACAAGCACTGGGTTCCTTTGGTGACATTTTGTGAATATTTTCAATTTAGGACAAAACACCTAGACGACAGCTCCACCACACAAAAATGACAAGCTTATCAATTAACATGAGCTCAAGTGACGTTAGAAAGGAAAAAAATGGAGACAAACAAGCGCTGGATGCCTTTAAACAAGGAAACACACCAGGTGTTTTGGGAGTCAGTTATTGATCAGCCGAGCGATATGATGAAGCGTGGCATATCGTTGATAAATTGTTCACGCTTTTGGTCCCGCAAAATCAATCAACGGCGCTACCTTGGGGCCCATTAGCTAAGAGCACCTATTGTACTTTATTTTCAATGTCGGTGTGCGTTTGCGTACTTGGTCATTTTGGCGCAAAATTCTCAATTCGTAGAGTTGGTTTTTTTTTTTTCTTGAGTGAGGGGGTGGATTTGGACACCTTTCTCTGACAACGATACCATCGGGAGACGGAGCGTGGGTGGAAGTGGCAGGTACCTTATCAGTTTTGAGAGTTGGAGTGGAGTGCCGACGTCTGGCGGCAGTTTTTTAAGAGTTCTTGATCAGTCGGGCAGATCATCTCAATATCGGACTGAGATCAACGCATCAGTGTCTGGGAATGGTCAACATCATTTGAATGATTCAGTTGTGTCTGCATCTTTTGATGCCAGCTACTGTCTAGTCTACATCTCGGTCTTCGACAATTACCTTGTGCTGGAAGGTGCTTACAGGAATTAGGTCAGAATTCAAAGGAAACAGGGCAGAACTATCAGGATTCTATTCTGCCTTCAAGCAATCAATTTTAGAAGCTTTGAGGTTACACTGCCTGAAATTCCCGATGAATGTTGGTTGTTCCAAGTCTCAGCGTCATTCTCTCCAAAGTTCTAGCCAGGAAAATTCTAAGAACTAGCAAAACACATACTGGTGTTTTCCCCTTTTCAAACCCTCTTGGTCTATCCCCTAATCAATCCACCATTTGTTTGTTCTTCCACTCCATTTGCTCTGATCTTAATCCCGCTTTGTGTTTCTCCTTCCAACCTTGTTGAGTTCCCCACGTGTTTGTTTCTTGTAACACTGTCATATTTCTTCTGAAGATCTTGTTAAGATAAAAACATCTCGCCGCCTTAATTTTTTTTGACTAGCAAAACAAATACCTCCTGACTTTTGTCAGAGATGTTGCTTTACAATTTCATACAAAATGAGATTACACCCCGACATAAATTAAGCCAAGAAGATGAATAAGTTTAAGTTTTACTTTTCACTTCAATATTGTCATTTAATGTTTACATCCGAATGAACATCTCTCTTATTACTTTGGGTAAAAGTGAAATACGACTAACATTTAAGCCTCGACACACAGCCAGAGTTTTTATGTGAAAACACGTGTCATTCATGTCTCCTTTTTGTTGAACGACCAAATTCTTTACGGCAGATTATACACGTAAGCCTTACACGCCGAAAATCTAGGTCCGGCATGAATCGAGACAGCATCACCACAATAGCAGCTTCATTGCCTCCTGATCAAATGAGTTCCACGTACCGACACTCCAACATGTCACAAAGTCTGCCGACAGTAGGCCAAAGGGGGTTAAAGCCGAGGGGAGGGGGGGGGAATGGGACACCAAAGCCCCATCAACGGGGCATTAAGTAGCACCTCGCAGAGCTGAATGCCGTCACTCCACGAATACCAACTACAAGCTAGGGTGTTGCATACATGTATCGCTGGGTGTACGAAAACAGGATCTGAGAGCTCTCCGACGACTGCCGCGCCGTCGTCTGAATAATCCTTATTCAAATTCTAATCCACATACACATTAACACTGTTGTAGTGGAGTCCCGTTTCCTGAGACTGACAAGCAGAGTGAAATATAAGCTGTAGTTCACATTCAGAGGTTCCCACAGATATCTTAAAGTGCAATTCCGTGACTTTTCCCCTGAATCTTCCTGTACAAAATTATAGGGCTTTCTGTGACCGATTCCCTTGCTGTTTTTGGCATCTTTGGCCTAATTTATAACATGGCCAGTCATCGCACAGAGGCAAGGGACCCCACTCCCTTTCAGCCTTCCAGTTTGACACAAGACCACTGAGCACTAAGCATGTGACTTTGCATTCTGCAAATATTTTAAGAAATGCTTAAAGGGAATATACAACATTTGCAAACATCAAAAAATAAAACTACCAAGTTTTTACGAAATACCCTACTAGGATGTTGGTAAATGACAGTCTAAAGCAACCTGTAAAATTATGGCACCTGGTGTCAAGTCATTTTCAAGAAAATGGTATTTTTGTATACATTTCCAACGGTGGTCGGCCGACCACCGTTGGAAAAACCTAACTATTTTTCAACTACTGCTCCAAATTTACAATTTTTTCCGTCCAAATTGTGTTTGCTATTGGTTACATGTTCATGAATGGGTGCAGGCCAGCTAGGCTGGTTCCCTTACCTTACAATTTTCCGACATCTATAAATTGATCCATTTTATCTTTAGTGGAGTCAGGGAACCAGACTACTTAAACAATTTTAGTTTTTCTTGGTTTTTCAAGCATTTTCAAACACAAAACTTCAAACATGTCACTTAAACAATATTTGATCTATTATACTAACCCCTCAAATAGTTCATTTCTGAAAATTACAGCAAAAGCCAATGATGTACATTCC